GTTTTTGTATTGGCTATAAAGCTATTCATTTACATTCAATAAAATCAAGCTTAAGAGCTACAATCTTGTTTTAACAGTGGTATCAGAGCTCACACAAGGGCCTGATCTTTAGAAAAATAGAGAGAGAAGTTGAGTGAAACACAGAAAGAGAGGAAACAACAACAAGCCATGTCTGACGGCAATAACCTTCTCAATATTCTGAAGTTCGATGGAGATTATGATCACTGATCCATGCTAATGGAAAACTTGTTGAGATCAAAGGAATACTGGAGCTTGGTGGAGCAAGGCTATGAAGAGCCTAAACTGCTGGAGTCACTCACAGGAGCAGAACGAAGAACCTTGAAGGAGAAAAAGCTAAAGGACTTGAAGGCAAAGAATTATCTGTTTCAATCTATTGACAAGAATATTTTGAATACAATCACCAACAAATCCACCTCCAAAGCACTATGGGATTCAATGAAGCAAAAATATCAGGGGAATGCCCGAGTTCAACGAGCTCAACTCCAAAGGATGCGCCAGGATTTCGAAGTTCTAGAAATGCAAAATGGTGAGTGTGTGAATGATTATATTTCTAGAGTCATGTTAACTGCAAATGACATGAGAGGAGCAGGAGAGACCATAGAGGATAGACATATTATTGAGAAGATTCTTCGCACACTGTCCGACAAATACAATTATATTGTATGCTCAATCGAAGAATCCAAGGATATCAATAAAATGACAGTAGATGAACTGCACAGTTCATTGCTTGTACAAAAATACAAGATAAAGCGGAAGGATGTGACTGAACAAGCACTGACGGTTACCGGAGACAGTTCTAATTTACGAGTTGACGAACGATTCAGTGACAAAGGCAGAGGGCGTGGAGGATACAGAGGTAGAGGCAGAGGCAGAGCATTCAATAAATCCACAGTTGAGTGTTATCGATGTCACAAGCTGGGCCATTTCCAATACGAATGTCCCACCTATGCCAATTATGCAGAAAATGCAGAATTGGATGAAGGAGAAGAGATGCTTCTTATGTCATATGTGGAAATGCAAGGAGCCATACAAGATGAAATATGGTTTTTAGACTCCAGGTGCAGTAATCACATGAGTGGAGATATAAAATGGTTTATTGAAATATATAAATCATTCAGACACGGTGTTAAGCTGGGAAATGACTCCAAATTGGCTGTCATGGGAAAGGGCAAAATTCGAATGAAAATAGATGGACGAGTTATGGTCATCACAGAGGTATTTTACATTCCTGGTCTTAAATCAAATCTCCTTAGCATTGGTCAGCTTCAAGAACGAAATTTATCCATATTAATTAAGAATGGTTGTTGTAGCATTTATCATGATGTTAGAGGTCTGATCATATGAACTGCGATATCCGCAAATCGTATGTTTGTGCTTCAAGCGTCTATTCCTGTTGTCTCTAATGATATATCAAGAGAAGCGTGTTTCAATATAACCTCTGAAAATGTCACAAACTTATGACATCAAAGGTTCGGACATCTTAACATGAAAGGACTGCGGACTCTTGCCTATAGGAAGATGATTCGAGGCCTGCCAATATTAAAGAATCAATCCAAGGTGTGCACCATATGTATGAAAGGAAAGCAGGAACGTGATTCTTTTGAGAAAAGAAGCACTTGGAGAGCATCCAGACCTTTACAACTAATTCATTTAGACATATGTGGCGCAATTACTCCTGAATCTCACAGTCATAAAAAGTATATAATTACTTTTATAGATGATTATAGCTGAAAAATGTGGTCCTACTTTTTACATGTCAAGTCTGAAGCTTTTAATACATTCAAAAGGTTCAAGTTATCAGTTGAGAAGACAATAGGATACAATATAATTTGTTTACGCGCCGACAGAGGTGGGGAGTTCACTTCATCAGAGTTCAATGACTATTGTAGCACAAATGGAATCGCAAGACAGCTCACTGCTGCCTACTCACCACAGCAGAACGGAGTTGCAGGAAGAAGAAACTGAACCTTGATGAATATGGTGCGATGTATGCTTGCAGCACGAGATGTTCCAAAGGAGTACTGGCCGGAAGCTGCAAATCTGGCCACTCGTGTTTTGAATAGATGTCCAACCTCAGCCTTGCCAAACATGACACCCTAAGAAACGTGGAAAGGAGAGAAACCATCAGTGGTACACCTCAAGGTGTTTGGATGCATAGGACATGTTCATATTCCTGATGTCACGAGGAAGAAGCTGGATGAGAAGAGCATCAAGTGCGTGTACATGGGAGTTGGTGAGGAGTCCAAAGCTTCTCGAATGTATGATCCAGAAACAAAGAAGATCATCATTAGCCGAAATGTAGTTTTTGATGAAATGGAAAAGTGGGATTGGAAGAAGTCAGGAGAAACTAACTCTCTTGATCCTATGTGTGAAGAAAATGAAGAGAATATGGAGAATACAAATTCAGAAGATGAAAGAATCAATCTTCCTAAAAAGAGAAAAAGAAGGAAGCTGGTATGGATGAGAGACTATGAGACTGGAGCTGGATTGTCCGAGGAGGAAAACGAAGAACTAGAGAAGCTTACCCAGGAGATGCAGCAGCTTGCTATGTTTGTTTCAAATGATCCCACCACTTTTGAGGAAGCAGCCAAAAGTTAGATATGGATGGATGCAATGGAGCATGAGATTGCAGCAATTGAGAAGAATGGAACATAGGAATTAACAAATCTGCCAACAGGAGCAAAAAAGATTGGTGTTAAGTGGGTATTTAAGAGCAAAATGAATGAAAAAGGAGAAGTAGACAAATGCAAAGCGCGTCTTGTCGCGAAAGGGTATGTTCAACAAGCTGGAATCGATTACACTGAGGTATTTGCACCCGTGGCAAGATGGGATACAATTCTATTAACATTGTCCATTTCTGCTAGTCGAGGATGGAAAGTTTATCAACTCGATGTCAAAAGTGCATTCCTACATGGAGAAATAACAGAGGAAGTATATATGGAGCAACCGAAGGGATATGAGGTGACAGGCGAAGAAGACAAAGTGTATAAACTAAATAAAGCTTTCTATAGGCTTAAACAGGCCCCTCGAGCATGGTTTAGCAAGATAGAATCATACTTTGTCAAGGAAGGCTTTGAACAAAGCATGATCGATCACACTTTGTTTACAAAGAAGGAAGGAGGATGAGACGTTCTTATTGTGAACTTGTATATCGATGACCTCATCTTTACAGGAAATAGTGAGAAAATATTCAAAGAATTCAAGAGCTCAATGAAGAAGGAATTTGAGATGACTGATATGGGATGCATGAGATGTTTTCTTGGTGTGGAAGTCACACAAACTTCAAATGAAATTTTTATGGTTTACAAAATTGTTCATCTGTCACTAACCTAATTGTTCCAGGGTGCAAACTTACAAAGGATGTTGGAGGGTTGAAGGTTGATGCTGCCGCATATAAGCAAATGGTGCAAAGTCTTATGTACTTAACTGCCACTAGGCCGAATTTGATGTATGTTGTGAGTTTGGTGGCTCGTTTCATGGAAGCTCCAACAACTATGCATCAACAAGTTGTGAAAAGGGTTTTGCGCTACTTAAAATGGACCACTAAATTGGGGTTGTTTTACAGAAGAGAAGGAGAAGAGAATTTAATAGCTTTCTGTGATAGTGATTATGTCGATGATCTTGAAGACCGAAAGAGCACCTTAGGGTATATTTTTAAGATGTCGAATGAATTAGTTGTTTGGATTTCTAAGAAACAGTCTGTGGTGTCGTTGTCCACCACTGAGGCCGACATTATTTCTGCAGCAGCCTGTGCTGCACAAAGCATTTGGATGATGCGGGTAATTGAGAGGTTGGAGATTAAACAAAGTAAGTGCATTATCTTCTGTGATAAGAGTTCAACGATTAAACTTTCAAAAAATTCTGTTATGCATGGTAAGAGTAAGCATATTCACGTTCAATATCACTTTCTTTGTGAATTGGCAAATCAAGGAGAAGTTGAACTAGTGCATTGTGGCACTAAGGATCAGTTAGCTGACATCATGACCAAAGCCTTGAACCGGGAAGTATTCGTGAAATTGAGAGAAAGGCTTGGAATTTGCAGCATTTAAGAGATAAACTGAATTTATTTCTTGAATAACAGTTCAGTTTATGGGAGAGTTTGTTGGAATAGTGCCGTTATTTAGTTTTGATTTAGTCAAGTTAAAATTATAAGTTAGTTTATGAATAAACTTATTCTTTAGGAATAAAATTCCTTGTTGATTTATTCCACCTTAAAAATAGTCATGATATAGTTATGTAAATCATGGTCCTTATTTTTCTGTTTGAGTTTCTGTATTGGCTATAAAGCTATTCATTTACATTCAATAAAATCAAGCTTAAGAGCTACAATTTTATTTTAACAAATATTAATTTTTCCAGCTGCAATTTATAAAAATAAAAAATAAAAAACAAAAACATAAGGTGATCTTTGTAGTTAGTTGGTCTCCTTTATTTCATCCCGATGATATCATCACATCATGTTTGAAATCAGAAGAGATTTTATTCATCGTGAGGATGAAATTAACACAAGTGGGAGGAGGTACACCGAGAATACCTAAAACCACTCAAATAAAACCAACATCTTTAAATTATACAATCCACCTGTACGATTAATATAATTCCTTTGAAATTTCTACAAAAAGATGGGGGAAATTGGAAAGTCTTAAAGAAAAGTACAAATTTGGAACTTAATGTAGCCAACAAAAACCATATCTTAGAGGATATTAGAATTTCCATTCAAGTTTTGACACATACCAAACACTGTCCCACAATAGGAACAAATCTTGTAAGATAGTCTGGCACCACATTTAATAGCAAAAGCTGGAGACGGCACTAGCCAATAAAAATTGATTTAACCTCAAAGATTAAGACCCTTGACTCAATTTAAGCCTAGTTAGTTATTTCTAGCCACCCCTTATAAATTGAACCAGCTATTCAAATCCTCAACACAACAACTACTGCATTCCTATTTATCTATTAAAAATCAATTGACATTAAAAATGGCAAGCTCTCGCATAGCAAAGTTTTTCATGGAGGTGGCACCGCCACAATATGTTAGTGTGATGAGGCATAGAACATCAAAGATGATGGAAACAATTACTGAAGAGGATAGAGAAATTAGCTCAAACGATACTGTAATTTCACCACTGAAAAGTTCATCAGCTGTTTCAGCTTCATCACTTGCTGCTTCTGCTTGTGGCTCTTCTTCCACCAATACAACTGTTAATACTAGGTACTTTCTAAAGGAAGTTCATAGAACACTCTCAAGTTTGAATCACTGAAGCACTAATTTGGGGCGGAGAGAAAAAAAAACCTTGGTTGCTGTTTCCGTTTCTTTTTGTTGTTCTTCTACTCTTATCTTTTATGTAATATTTTCTATGAACAAGGATAGTTAAGTCTGTAATGTAACATTAGGGTCCAGCATCTGTTTTTTTAATGATGTACAGGCTCATAAATTTCTATCTATTAAAAACTCAATCTGCCACAGGTTTTGGTATGCATATCAAATGTGTAATATACTCTTTCTTATTATGTACCAGAAATTGAGGCATCATAAATTTCATGGTTCAAGATCCTAATTGAAGGTTTACTCATTGTCAATTAGAAATCACATGCACAACTAGTTTTTTGTTGAACCTATCCATAATTTCATACTTTACATGGTCACATTGCTAAAATAAAGTTCATAATTCCATGCAAACTTTTAACTGTATCTAAACCAAAATGTAAAAAATGTAATAATCAACTAGTATGAATATTTATCATCATCATTGATACAAAACTGTTTATCTCATACATCTACCCCGATTTTAAAATAATCAACTAGTACAAAATACCTCGAGAAATACAAGATAAAGAACAGCACTGGAAATATTCTCCAATAACGTGAGTTCATGTGCTGAAGATTTCAGTATGTCATTTCCAGTGTAGAACTTTCATTGTTAGTTGAATATTTCAAGGGATTATTCGGATGTTATGAAGCTAGCATGCTTTTCCCTTGTGTGTTCATGAATAAATTACTATTTCCATGAATGATTCTTCTGTTTTCATTCTCTGCTCAGCTGAGAAGATTCTAAGCCTTGGGTTTCTTGCGTGTCTTTGAAATTATCTCCTTATATTTTGTAAGTGCTGCCAACAAACAAAACAAAAAAAGAAATTGCACTGACTTAATGAAACATCAAATGTAAACCCAAAACAACATAAAGTAAAAGAACATCAAGAGTAAAGCTAGTCCAAACATGCTTTAGAAATTTTCTCAAGCAGACAAATGTAGTCGGGAGTCGAGACAACCCTCACCTAAATGTCTGAGATGGTAGCAAAAAGGCACTTAATCATATACCCCTAAAAAGCAATCAACATATTTACCTGATTGGTAGGTTGTACTGAGTGCATCAATTTGACTGGATGGAACGATATGCTCGAGACAAGAACCACCCTCAGCCTTTCGCATTAACTTCTTAAATCGCCGAACCTGAAACGGAATAAGGTTTGACGATTTCAAGAATGATTTAGGTTCCAAATGTTAAAAAGACAACAAAACAGGTATATTTGCGATCTGTATAAGTATTGACAAATGATGAATTATATAATTCAGAGTCAGTATCGAGAAAATTTGGACAGTTCCTATTGTGGAAAAAGATGGTAGAATCTTGTCTCGAGTGACTTGGACATGCATAGAAAACTCTAGTAAAAACACCAGTAAAGAGTGTGAGCCAAGATAAAACAAATAGTTAGATGCAGAGGGATATCAAGAAAATTTAAAGGTCAAGCAAGAGAGATTTAGAGGTAAATGGTCTATCTTTAGATCTTTAGATTTAATACATGATAAGAGTTTTTTTATGTCAGTCAATTTAAATTCATACAGCCGACCTCACTTAATGAGAAAAACTTTAGTTGGATTTTTATATAATATTGACTCAAAGGGGATAGAACACCATCATCAACAAATCCTAACAGTGATAGACAAGTAGACAACGCTCCGTTACAAAACGATGGCTATTGAACAAACAGGGTAAGTTTAAATTGTTGTTTGATAAGATATTAGTGGTGAGTAGTGACAAAGATAACACATCATATTTAATTTTATTAAGAAATATAAAATAAAATAAAAAAACACACAAATTGGAGAATTGTAAACTCTATGCTAAGGGAGCTGCCAAGCTGATCAAGTTCTGGATTGTGATTCAATTTGGCCCAAAACCTGATTGGTTTATTCAAGGAATAAGAAGGCGGTTTATTGAGAAATACGACATGTTTTCCTATCAATAAGAGGAGAGGTCGAAAGTTCTACATTGTTTTAGTGAAGTAGATTTTCTTATTTTGTGTAATAAGATAGCAGATTCCTATCGGACACCCCCTTTAAAAAAATGTGTGATTTACACAAGCAGAAGTCATTTGCCTAATCTTATATTAGTATGCAACTAACTTTGATTAGTAAATAAAATTTTAATTTAGATATGAAAGAATTAATGTGTTGAAGCATTTAAATAGAGCCTTTATAGCTCAAATTGTAGCTTCTTCTATTGACTCTAATGCTATGAAACAAGGATATAGCATAAACCAAGGCCCGTGTAAGATAATAAAACTCCATACCTCATCTTCTGACATCAATGTGAAGCAACGCCCAGCCTGGCCCGCTCTCGCAGTCCTACCAGCCCGATGAACATAAGTTTTTATGAATTTTGGCACGTCATAATTAATGACATTTCTTACCCCTTCAACATCCATTCCACGAGTCAACGCATCAGAAGATACAAGCACTTGAAACATTCCTTTCCGAAATTCATTCAATGTCTTACTGCAGAAAATTAGCAACTTTTTTTTCATGTCAAGGACCTACCCTCAACTTTTCTTGGTAAGTTTTTTTACTGTAAGTTAATTTGAGCAAAAGATATGCTAATCCAAATAACCTCATAGACCTAAAGTTCTTTTAAAAGAAGTTTTGTATGCTGTGTAAGCAAGTGCAATCAACATAATACATTGCTTGAAATACTTATTATTTAGTGTGAATAAATCGCACCTTCTTACACGTTGATGTTGAAGACTAGAATACTCTTTGATATCAATTTGCAAATCTTCAAAACAATTCAGCAATTTGCAGAGACGATATGTGGAATCCACAGATTTTGTAAAAACTAGGCATTTTTCTTCTCCCAGGGATTTCAAAAGGGCAATTAAATACAAGGGTTTGACCTTTGTTTCACAAACCTACAAAAAATAAAAATAAAAATCTAAAATCACAGGGGAGCTACAGATAATTATTCATCCATTTTTAAATTTATGAAAATACGCATGTGTGAATTGTCTATCATTGTCAGTGTACATTTGCACGTAAATATGTTTAAGTATGTTATGTAATATGCCTAATTAACAATTAATGGTGAAAGAAGAATCAAAGTATGTCCACCCTACACTTTATTTTTGGCAATCTGAGTGTGTGTTGAAATAAAAAAGATTACTCGAGTGTGTTGCAACGCAAATAGTTGACTCCATGGGTATGCCAAGATGACTCACTCAAATGTTGCATTCATAAAGATAGCAGCATAAAAAAAGCTAAAAATAGTGGCATACTGCAAGGGGGAGTGAAGATGAGACTTGGTCCCCAAGTTGCATGATAAGTAACACCATAAAATAAGTCAATGATGACCAAGTCATTCAAAATGCTAACAGAAAATATGCAATCTATCACTGCTTTTTTCATATCTTCAAAAATTCATAAAATGCATCCTCTCAACTTAGACAGAATATCTATCAAGTAGATAATGCAGTGTTCAAACCATAGGTACGAGTTAATCCCCTGCAAGGCTACTAAACTACATAAGTCCTTTGCCATTGGTCTACTATCCACGTAAGAGGTCTAGATCCACCATTTCTCTTCTGTTCCTAATCTAATCAATGCTTTAATTCTCTCAATTTTTTCTCTGGCCTAACCGCTGAGGTTGCTAATCAGGTGTTGCGGAAAGGCTCAGATCATGGGGACATGGAAAGGTGTTTCCACCCCTCCCTTGAAGCTGCTGGCTTACCAAACTCTCAATTGTCATTCGTTCGTATCATAGAATTTGTCGATAACAGAATGTGATAGAAAAACTCAAAAATAAATAATGCAGCAGATTTTATTGAAAGGAAGAAATGAGCATAAACCCTCTACAAAAGTGAGACAAAAGCCCCATGTAATGCCATACCAGTTTATAAGATTCCAAATTTTCTGGGAGCCGATAACGCATTTCTCCAGCTTTCAACAACAAAGGGTGATGCAAAGTAAGCTGAATAAGCCTGCCTGGATCCTGAGTTAATGTCGCGGATAGAACCATCTTTGCCAGCCTGGGATAAGGCTTGTCCTTGAAGCCCCTCTCAACTCCACTTCAGAAATATATGATATAAATATAAAAAAATTTAATGAATGTGCGCATTAATACAAAAAGTATGATGAGCATTCATTACTAAATTAAAAAATAAAGGCAACAATAATTATAAAAAAGACTAAGTAAGGATCCATTTGGGTTTAAAACTATAATCTGATTACTAACAGGGTCGAAGATTAAATCTAGAAATCAAACTCACAATTATACAATAACAGTGTTCCTGGTACAATTGTCAAGAATTGAATCGCCTACTGAAACTATTATTAATGCAAAAATATGAAGTATACAAATTCAGAACCAGAAAATTGGCCTTATATGCACATAGTTTGCATGTGTGAATACGGTAAAGTAACTTTACTATGATCGAAAAATTTCTTAGTGTGGAACATAGAGGTGAGATGACATTATAAATCACAACATTTTTTTAAGAAAATCCAACAATTTAATGCAATTATGTATCATGGATGGCAATCAAAGGAGCATAGCTACATCAAGCTGAAGAAAAAAGCTTCATCTTTGTTTTTCATCAACATCAGAATTTGGTGGCATTCACTTCTATAAAGGGTATTTGTTCATTCTTTTCCGATAGTCACTCATATTGTAGTGCACAAACTAGACATGAAGCTAGCATGTGATCATTGCGATTACATAAAATAATGAAATTCAACATGAACAAGTTTGTCTTGTGACACACATATAAAGACGCAGTAAAGATGCAGTGTTAGTTTGTGCTTACCTTGATGCACTATCACCCACATAAGTACTAGGAAAAGCTTATAAAAATAGGTTATGTTATGTATATAGGTTATTTTCATAAACTCCTCCAAATAGCTTTGTTGTTATCAACTTGCATAAAGTTTACCCTCATTCCCTCATCGATTATAAAAACAGTTTATACAATAGGCGCTTATCCAAGGAACGCTTAGATAAGTTGTATATTCAAAGGCCTCGTTAGTCCTTATTGGTTGGATTAGATGTGAGACACGAAAATCTGTTTTTTTCAAAAGGTGGCTTTATCCTTTTATCAACCAGAATTATAGGAGTGGAATCTCCACTCTAAGAAGCAGGCTTTACTCCGCATCAAAAAAAGACAAGGCAATCCAACTAATTACAACTGCCGATTATCAGAGCATATGTGATCAATGAGCAACAGCTACCGATTAAACCTACATCTCACTTTACAATATTCTGAATTCACAGGCAAGGAATGCTTTTTAATTACTAATTAATCATGAGATGAACATGTCAAAAGATAAGTGAAGTAGCATTGAACTCACCATCTTCTTCTGGTTCTTAATGCACCAATAGAACAGGGGAAAAACGAATCAGACTGTTGGAAAAAGCCATCATCACTAGATTGGGTCAGTTCAAGCACAGTAGGCAACCATGACTGGTATGCCTCGCGAAGCAATCGATCTGTTTCATCAACCACCTGACATTATTACCCTCATTATCATATCATACACAATTATATGCATTACCAAAAACAAGAAAAGGACGGACTCAAACAAAACAAAACCAAACCAAAAATATATTGTTAAAATTAATTGTATGCTTTAAATAAAAAATAGTGAGAATTTATACTTACAAGATAATGAAGATGCTCAAGCGTGAAGCCTATGGTAGTATTAATATGATCCATTAGCCTACCAGGGGTTGCTACTAATATATCAACCTTACTCTGAAAGCGAGGAAGCGAAACACAATTGGGATCATAACACATGCCTATATCACGTGTCGGCATGTCAACTAGCTCCGAAATCTCATCAGCTAGTGCCGACTGACCAACGGCCAAGCCAACACGCAGGCCTAACGGAGACGCAACGGCGTCAAAGACTCGCTTGACCTGCAAAGCAAGGTCGCGAGTGGGGACCACGATTAAGGCACGGAGACATTTGGTGATGCGGCCTGATAGTATCTGCACTAAGGGGAGAGCGTAGGCGAGGGTTTTTCCACTTCCGGTGGGTGAGTTAACACAAACATCTCGCTCAAAATTGCCAGGGCCAACCGTTTCATGCCAGACTGCAACTTGCACTGGGAATAGACTTGAGATTCCCATGTCCTCCAAAGCTGACTTCAACCTGATGAAAAATTGTGAACAAACAATTATAAAATTGAAATCGAAATAATAGTGAAATAGTGAAATAGAGTGATATTGTAGTACTTAGGGTGGAGAGAAGGGACGGAATGAAGAGGTAGTGGTTGAGAGAGAGTGACATCGACGGGGTCTCGCATCCATGGCAAAGCCGGAATGCTTTGCTGTTTTACTTCACCCATTTTGATTCTATGGTTAAACAACTTGTGGCATAAATTTCCTATAACATATATGCAGAAACGAAAGAAAGAGATAATAGGAAACTAGGGTTAGAGCGAAGTGCCTCGCTGGGGATTTTCAGACTTCGGTCTTTCTATGTTCACTAAACCCTTTCTTCTACTACTATCGCCGCCAATGGAGGAGGGGTTTAAGGAGTTTGGATCCGTCCAGTTTCTGTCCTGTTTCATAAACCTATGTATGACACGTGGCAAAATAAACTTTAATGGTTGAGATTTTAAATCTATAAACCAAATTATTTTAAATTATTAAAAATTAAAAAAAACGATTCCTCTCTTCTCCGTCAAAACACTATTCCTTCCTCTCTGTTTCTATACGAAGCTATACCACAACAGCGACTTCGGCTTCCTTTGAGTAAAAAAAAAAAGAAAATTTAAAGACTTTAGTTTGAGAGATTCAAAATGGAACTCAGAAATGATTTCTTTTGAGACTCAGAATTCAGTTTTAATGGTTGAGATTGAATATGTATTTTTATTTTTAGATTATTGATCTCAACTATTAAAATATTTAGGCTTAAATATATCTTATATTTTTCTATTTCAATATTTTTAATTTTTTTATTATTTTTAAAAAAAAATTAGCTTTTTATCTCTCAACTTTATTTTTTTTTTTTTTGGACTTTTTTGTTCTTTCCAATTTTATATATATGGTAATAATGATTTATAAAATAAAAATATATTTTTCATGATGTGTCATTTTATTACTTATTATTTTTTACATAAATAATTAATAATTAATTATTTTTATTAAATATTAAATAATTGAAATTGTGAAAATAAAATTTTCGATTTCAATCTATTTTGTTGGACCAATAACCAATAACCAACACCCAATTCACATGGAAATATTGATGTAACTTATATTTATTTTTTTTACAAAAGCAAATTTAACATATTTCATTAATCAAAAGTTATTTAATACAAGGAATCAAATTGAAAATACTATGTCTAGTTAAGGAATTGACCGTTTTCGCTAACGAACAGACAATCATATTCGTTTGACGCTTAACAAACTTAACCTCAAAGTTGGAAGAAAGTTGTAACAATCTCTGAATAGACAAGATAATTAAACTAAACTCAAAACTACCGTAATGAATTAAATGAATCGCTTGAATCACTCTCTAAGAATCACTTTCGAAAATTATATTTTTCAAATGCAATGCTATAGCTTTATGAATTGTCTCTGTGAGAGCCAAGGCTTCGGCTTCTAAGATGGAGTGGAGACCCAAGTCTCAAGTTACACCTGCAAAAATAAATCTATCAAAATTGTCTCTGACGCACTAACTCATATTAGTAGTACCACAGTTATTATTGAAATTCGCGTCCATGTTGCACTTCATCCAACCTACTCTCGGCGGATTCCAAACATAAGAGGTTGATTGGCATTCTCGCTATCGTTCTCATCTAGAGTTACAAATCAATCATGTCAATTATAAAATGCCTGCATCCTTAGCTTAGACAAATACCCTCACTCATTATTCCAAATAAGATTGTTTTTATTCTTCCAAATCACATCTAACATTATCACAACTCTTCTAGTTGTCCTCATATCCTCATTATTACAAATATCAAGAATAATGGATTTAGCGTCATTTAAAGAGTGTAATAGGGGGGTCAATAGTAGTGGACAAAGTTGCTGCCCTTCAACAATGATTAGTAGCAATACACCCAAAGAAAACATGTTAATCATCATCGACATCATTCTCACAAAGTTAACAACCTGACGGACATTGGACATGATGTTGGTGGAGCCTACAACGAGTCGGTAAATAGCCCCTACAGATTCTCCACATAAGATGTTTGACTCTAGGCGACACTTTAATATTCCAAAGGCTCTCCCAATCCCCTTCCACACTTCTAACCACATGTTTCTCTTGGATGCTTCTCCACAGTCTATACCTAGAGCGCACATTATAATCATCATTTTGCTCTTCCTTCCAAATCCACCAATCTTCTCTGACATCATCCACTAACGAGACCTAAAAGATGTTGTCAGATGCTACATGATCAAACAATTTCTTTATCATATGAATATCTCATTGTTTAACATTAGGCATCAATATATTATTGAGAGTAAGCTCATACACACCTTGTCTTTGAGGTCCACTTAAGCAACTATCGACTCTACCTCAAAGACAAGACTCATTCATAACCTTAATGTTACTCTCATCTTTAATACTCCACCTACAACCAAGTGTTAAAATCTTTCTAGCTTGTCAAAGACTCCTCTAAACAAAACTAGGATTATTACCAAGATTCGCTTCAAGGAATGTAACTTATATAAATCTGAAAAATAATTGAAATTAAAAGGATGTGGGACTTGTAAAGTACAATTATAGTACAGACGGTTAAAGAACCATCAACAACAATAATAACAATGTGTCTCTCTCATCACCTCAACCACAACAACTAGTCTAGAGTTATTTCTTTCATCATCATCAATATGGTCGGTCCTGACTTTTTAGAGGTCCTGGACAAATAATAAAAATTAAGTCTTAAAATTGGCGCGGTGTAGTGCAGTGGCGGTGCGTGGGAGGCAAAGGTTCGACGGTGAAGTGCTAAAACGGAGATAGATACGTGAAAATGTGAAAATATATTGAGAAATGAGATGCGAATTTTATATTGACATCGATGCAATTAAATCAAATCAATATATTGAGTTAGAGAGTGTTACGTCATATAACTTTGCCAATTATGAATTTCATATTGACAATATAAATTTCATAAAATTATATCAAAAAGTCATTTGTAATTAAAGATATAAAATGAAGGAAAAAACTAAAATGTACGAAATAAAATTCACCACAATCACTCAAATGACTTTGTCAATTAAGTCTCTCTTGATTTGACATATTTGTCAAATTTCTCTAATCTTTAACTCTATTAAAATAATAATTTTTAAAAAAACTTTAGACATAACGGTAAGAACTTTAAGATTTTATTAGAATTAATATATAAGTATAAGGGAAGTTAAACTAGTTAAAAAAAAAATTATAAAATCTTATAAATACTATATCAAATTATATTAACTTTAATCAAGTTGTTTAAAATAATTTTACTTTTAGTAATTTAATTTATCGTTTATTTTATTATGTTGACTTAATTAAAAATAATATTGAATTTCTTAAATTTTAATTTATTATTATAAAAGAATATAACAATATATTTTTTTATAAAATAAAATAAAAAATAATAGAACTAAACACAAATAATAATATATTATATTTTATCATATAAATTTAATAATAAATGAATTTTTTTATATGAAGCATATATGACTTTTTTTTTTACTTATATTAATACATGTTATCTTTTTAGTAAAATAAAAATATTAAACCGTAAAAAGAGGTTATGCTAGACTCAAACCCGCAACCATAATATTCTAAAACACACTTGTTATTATTATCGGCTATATCTACATAGTGTTGTGTATTTGTAAAGACTTTATATATTCTTTATTATTTATAATTTTTTTCACTCTTTTCTCTATTTTGAGGCCTCTGGTTTTTTGTGGTCTTAGGTCGTGGGTCTGGTTGCCCTGACCAAAGACTAGTAACATCTAACGAGTAGATGATAGTAATTTGTCAGCAAAGAGATTTTATAATATTTTATGATTGTGATATATATTTTATTTTTGTTTTGGGTCGGCCTTAGACTCAAAAGTGAATAAGTCGAATTATAAGAAGGTCAAATTCAAAGACATATACTTTGAGTTATTCCAGGTTGAGTGCTCTCTTAGTCAAAAGGTCAATACTAAATATTTGCCCTCAGTTTTTTTTTGTCGTCACATTTAATAGAAGGATCCTCTGCATTTCACGCTAGATGATAGGGTGGTTCTAACTCCATTCCATATATAAAGTTTTCACGTGCCAAGACCTAGATATTTTACTCATTCTCACACTCATATCACTTCTCATTCATTTAGTAACTTCAGTGTTATAATGTTAATCTTGCATGTCTACCCAGGTTCGACGTAGTGAAAGCACGCTCCATTGCATCTAGGAGTGTAAATTTACATCTATTAAGAGGAATTTCTGTAGGAATTATATAGAACTATATTTATAAATAAATTTTAATGCATGGGATTTGAAAAGGAATTTATATTTAAAAACAATAAAAAAATTCTTTAATTTCTACTCCTAAATTAATATTATGCGCACTACTTTGAAATTATTATATTTGAAATTATTAAATTAGATTAATAATGAATAATTAATTTTGTATATAAAATAATAATAATTAATGAAATTAAAAAGTATGTACTCTTTCACATCATTTTGTTCATACTTTTCTTTGATTTTCAAATCTAGTTTCCGCCCCTATCAAACTGTCTAATTCGATTCAGAATTAGTTCTGACATCAAATAATTTTTTACTCTTTTTCGAATGAATTCGCGGAAGATTGAATTTTGATCTTTTTTATCAAATTCAACATCAATCATATGAAATAACTAATTATAGGTCATTTTATTTATACTTTTAACATAAATAATTAAGGGTAAATTCTATAAAGACTAAGTAAAACATTGTCTTGATCACTTTAATGTTTGTCAAATTATAGATATGACTTTTGGCTCAGATATTTTCTTATTTTTCTTTATCAGTGTACGCAATAATGGAATTTTAAATGTAAGTTCTTCGTGGCCAAGATCCTTGCCACATCAAAACAGTAAGTGACATGACATCATATACAAATTAAATATATTAAAATCAAGTTCTTATATTTCTAATATTTGCTTCCATATCACATCATATACAAACAAATACTAAAACCAATCAAATTATTTCATATTAATTAACTACTTCAAAAATAATAATAATACCTACTAAAGCATCAAATAACATTATGAGTTATGATACACGCATAGACAAAAATAGTGGATCCATCCATCAGTAACTATTTGTACAAAGGAGCTCATGTAGTAAAAATCTCCAAATGTAAAGCCTGGTGTGTCCACAGCTTTCAAGACAAAACTGAGTCATCAATGACTGGTGTCAAAATGAAACATCTTCAGAAATGAATGCAGCCCATGCATCCTGTTAATATTCATATGCACTTTTTTTCTTTCAGTATTTGATCTTCATAATTCAATGCTAGAACTTAACCATCTATGGTGTAATATATATATTTTACAATACCTGAAGAATGGAGAAAGCTTGCTCTGCAAGATACTTGTGAAGGAATGTTGCTCCTTTTTGTTGTAGTTTGTCTGGATGTAGGCATAACCTTGCTTTCTGATAAGCCCTTTTCACCTGTGAGTTTTCCTTTAGATTCACAAGTGAAATAGTATACCAGCCGCTCTCCAGCCATAGAATCTGGTAATGGAAAAATACAACAAAGGGTCAAATTTGCAGTTAGAAATGCAGAAGATTTCATATATTGTTAGTTAAGAATTCAAAAACAGAGAAAATCTAACATGGTGTAGTGTTGAGAGCAGTAGCCTGATGTCAGTTTCTTTGCCATATGACCACATTCTTATATTTTCATCCAACTTCTCTGTGTCTGTCTCTTGCTTCTGCAGAAAAATAATATCAGAGATACCATTCTAAAATATATAAAGTTGAAACTACTATCTATAAATTTTATTCTTTTCTTAATTTGATTTAGTTTATGGACTTTCTTAACCAGATCTTTTGTCCATAATTTTTTTTGTTGAGTAGTCTAAGTGGTTGAAATTTCACTCCTTCTTAAAGCTGAATAAGTGGGATGTTGCAGATTTGAACCCGCGCGCCTACGGTCAGATGTCTATGCAGAACTACCAAGTCCAATTGAGTTGACTTAACGAGATATATTCTGCTATTTATTATTAGTATTTTGAACTGTTTTCATCAACTAGTAAAATGTAAGCTTTTTCTTTTCTTAGACCTAGTTCACAAAGCCAATATCATATTTCAAACAAATACTTTAATAAAAAAATCTAATTTAAGTTTTGTATCGGTTATTAAATGTATAGTTTTACCTTAGGAGGTTGAATATTTCTAATTTCATTATCATGGTATTCACTTGCATCAGGGCTTCCTGCAATATGATAAGATACAAATATGAGAGGTGGTTTTTCACTAACAAAATTTGTTAAACTTTAAGATCAAAAGTGTGTCTGTGTCCTACATGTTTCAGTGTCTGACACCAATAAATGTAGATGTATTCCATCATGTTCATTTTTTAATGTGTCTTCATATAGTGTTGTGTCTGATGTCCGTGTTTCGTAGATTTTTTGGTTAAGATAATCAATTACCTTGTCTTTGAACAGTCTGCTCATTGCTATTGTTTTTCATTCTCGACTCTTCATCGGAGCTTCCTGATTGAAACTTCTCTTTGGCCCATGCAATTGCTTCATCAATGTCTGATGCTTCACATTCTCCCTTTCTGAGGTCAGAGTTAATCTCTATGACATAAGAGCTCATACAATCGTCATCATCACTGCAATCATCATCACTCTCACCATCATCATCATCCTGTTGTATAATTTGTTCTGAAAGGACTTGATCATGAAATGAACATTTTGATTCAGATGGAGAATTGAACTCTGAGTCATCGGCGAATACTTTGACACCTTGATATGAACAGGATCCGAGACTAATTGTTTCCGGGGATGAGACTCTTTTCGAGAATCCATGAGGAGAGCTTTTGAAGTTTGGCTTGCATTCATTATTTTCAAATGATTGAACATTGCATGGAAAAAATGATACCTCTTGTTTACTTGGGTATTCTTCAGGTACAATAGTTGATGAGTTCCATTTCCATGGGACACTGATTGGCCTGTTGTAATCAGAAGACAACTTAATCATCAATTGAATGTTTGCCATGAAATTGGTCTTCACTATGTTTTCTTTTTTCAAAATTTTGTTCAGAAGACGAAAAAGTAAATGTTTTTTATTGGTTTTTTAAACAGAACTCTATAGACAAAAAACAAATACTTTTTGGACTCAGATTCCTTGCAATCAAAAAACACTCCATTCATGCATTCAAGCATAGCTGGTCTTCCGATCAAAATGGGATAGATCTGATAGATAATTTTAAGTAAATCAAATCTGTTTTTGTGAGCGGTATGATTGAGATCAAATGATTTATACTACCATAACCGTGTGAGTGCAGAAAAAACATAACTGCAGTGGATTCAGTTCCATATTTTTTAAAATCAAACGGTTCTGGATCATGTTGAAATAATATAACAAGTTTGAGTAAGTAGGAAAATAGCCTCATATTGGATAGGAATATAGAGACTTAAACATATATAAGTGGAGAACCCACTCATCTACTACCTTAAGGTTTTAGATGAATAAATAGTGTGTTTTTCATAAAAGGTGCTTATTCCTATCTTAGGTAAAAAAATGCATGGAATAGACCTTCACTATAATATTCAACTTTCCAATCTTAGGGTAAACAGATCTAAACAAGGACTTTAGGCCTCAAAATTTTAGAAAATTTTTAAAACAAATTCAATTTAATTATAAATATATGAAATGAAACATAAATTAAATATATGAAATATATATACACGGTACTGGCAAACAAAAATATCTAAAAGTATTAAAAGGAAACTTTTTGTAAAGTTTTCAAAATAGAATAAAATTTAGTGGTAAAGGGCATATATGTCAATTAGCAAAAATGAAAAAGAAAGCCGTTACTATCAGTACCTCAGCTTTGAAGCAAGACCAGACAGTGGCACGTCGTCTCCGATGGTCGTCCGGCAAGGGCTTAATTCCTCCGAACTCAGTGCTGACGACGAATTTGCCTTTGACAGGGACCCAGACCGCTCTCTTGATTTCCGGTCATCGTCGGACCCAAAAATATCGCTGAAAAATCCTTCGTTTCTCGCCGGAATCCTGAACACCGGCAAGGTTATGTCACACTTCTCCGCCGGAGGTGTGAACTCCGGCATGCGGATGATTTCTTCGTACAACGAATCGGAGTTAGAGAATTTGTGGACGATAAGTGATCTTGGCGGGCCTCCAAAGACGTCGGAGTAGTCATCTCCATCAACAGATTTGGCATGGGAAACGCCGGTGCCGGAGAAAATGGACGGGATAATCCGGGAACATGGCCGGTTATCCACTGATCGCCGGCCAGGGTGGCCCCGGAATATGCTTGAACGGTTTTTTCGTGACTTATTCATTTCCGGTGACGTTTACCGATACGGCTGCCGAAAATACACAACCGATATTTATTTAGTTTTTAATTCGTTGAGTGTTTTATATGGCGCGTACACTAGTTATATAGAGGTGGGGTTGAAAAATGAAAGATAAAAAAGCAAAAAGGGAAAAAGATAAAAAATCAAAAAAGGAGATTTGTGAAAATATTAATGATTGACTTTTAGGACTTTCTTTTATACTATATTTATTGAACTTATATATTATATCTACGGGGTGACAAAATGGGTCACATCCATTGGGTATGTCTGTTTTATCCGTAATTTTGTGCGGGAAAGGTCAAGAGTTTAAACCCTCATCCTTTAATATATATGTCTCGTTCCGTCTCGTTTTTTACGCGGGTTTTTGCGGGCACGTACATTTACATGATTTTTTGTGTTTTTAAGCTTAAAAGGTGTAGTACTTGTGGGCGTTCCCCGCCCCGCCCTTACTTTTTTGCAGGGCGGGACAGGTTTTAGGCCCACATCTTCAACATTGTTCACCCCACCCCACCCATTTTTTTGCGGGCTTTTGCAGGGCAGGTCTAAACGGGGCGGACATGCCCGTTTGCCACCCATAATTATGCCTCATGTGAATTCTAACATGAACCACTATTATAATTTAGACAAAATAACACCCAGTCCTTTTAAGATATTTTATTATGAGAGGTTGATCTTTAAAGTTGATTTTGTTATAAGTCAGTATTTAAGTTATTTAACGTATACATCGTTATTTTTTTTCAAAATTTTGTTCAAAAAATGGACAATTGCCACTAACGCTTTTGAGGTTGATGTAACGTTGATGACATGAAAATTGTTATTTATTTATTTTTATGTAATTATCCAAAATCACCATCTTCTTCGTGAATCAAAGATACAAATCCCTGGTTTCTTATTCATCTTCTCCATTCTCCATCAATGGCTTCATATGGTACAAATGGGCCAGATCCACGTAGTTAGAACTGTGAATCCTTCATTTCGAGTGCATCTCACGGCGAAATCGCACAAAGATGTCCTTGTGGAGTCAAAGCAATGATACGAACAGTTAGAAAGAAATGGCGAAACTTTGGGAGAGTCTTTTGGGGTTGCAGATACTTTGTGGTATGTTTATTGGTATCTTCTTCTATGTCTTTTATGAAGGTGCTAGATGTTATATGTTAAAAGAGTGAATGTGCTAATTGTGATTGCAATTACTTTGAATGGTATAAAAACAAGTACATCTGCTAATTGTGTTGGAGATTTTGCAAGAGAAACATTTGTATGCCAAGATATCCAAGTGTGAGTTATGGTTGAAAGAGGTGAGTTTTCTTGGCCATGTGATTTCTAGCAGTGGTATATCAGTAGATCAATTGAAGGTAAATGCAGTGTTGTAGTGTGAAACCCCTAAGTTTGTTTTTGAGATAAGGAGTTTTCTTGGGTTGGCTGGCTACTACAGGAGGTTTATAGAAGGTTTTTCGAAGTTAGCTTTGCCTTTGTCTCAGTTAACTCAAAAGAGTCAAACGTATGTGTGGGACACTCGGTGTGAAAAAAGTTTTCAAGAGATGAAGAAGAGGTTGACAATAGCTCTAGTTTAGGATCTGTCAGATGCTAGTGAATCATTTGTGGTGTTTTGTGATGCTTCGAGGATGGGTTTGGGTGGCGTGCTTATGTGTAATAGTAATCTGCTAGCTTATGTTTCAAGACAACCTAAAGTTCATCCATGACTTAAAGTTGACCGAAGTTGTGTTTGTACTTAAAATTTGGAGGCACCATCTGTATGGTGCGAGATTTGAAGTGTTTAGTAACCATAAAAGTTTTAAATACTTGTTTGATCAGAAAGAGTTGAACACGAGGAAGAGAAGGTGGCCTGAGTTCTTGAAAGTCTAAAACTTCGAGTTGAATAACCATCCGGGTTTAACTAATCTGGTGGTAGATGCTTTGAGTAGGAAGTCCCTGCATATGTCAGCATTGATGGTTCGAGAATTGGATCTACTTGAGGAATTCTAAGATCTTAGTTTGGTGTGCGAGAAGATGTCACAGAGTGTTATATTGGGTATGTTGAAGCTGACTAGTGGTTTTCTTGAAGAAATCAGATAAGATCATAAATCAGATTTGGGATTGGTTGACCATTTAGCATTAATCAATCAAGGTAACAATGGTGATTTAAGAGTTTATGATCATGGTGTTATGAGATTCTGTGATAGAGTATGTATACCAGATTTTTTAAAGCATACAAAGAAAATTCTTGAAGAAGGGCACAAAAGTGGGTAGGGTATTTATCCAGGTGCTACAAAAATGTATCAAGATATCAAGGTGATGTTTTGGTGGCCAGGTATGAAGAATGAAGTTATTGAGTTTGTTTAGGCTTATTTGACTTATCAAAAGTAGAAGATTGAGCATCAAATATCGTCAGGAATGATGCAATCGTTGAGTCCTAAGTGGAAACGGGACAAAATTTCTATAAAATTTGTAACAGGTTTACCGAAGACTTCGATGGGAAGTGATTCTATTTGGGTTATTATTGAGAGACTGGCTAAATCAACTTATTTCCTTATGATAAAGATCAGTTATTTATTGCAGAAGCTAGCAGAGGTTTACATTGTTGAGATCGTGAAACTGCATGGTATTCCTTCAAGTATCATATCAAATAGAGATATGAGGTTCACATCGAGGTTTTGGCAGAGTTTGCAGAAAGCTTTGTGAACTAAGTTGAAATTTAGTTCTGCTTATCATCCGCAGACGAACGATCAACCAAAAATGACTATCTAATCCTTGGAAGATATGTTGAGAGCTTATATGTTAGAGCAGGGAGGTAATTAGGATAACTATTTACCATTGATTGAATTCACCTACAATAATAGTTTTCACTCTAGTATTGTGATGGCTCCATATGAGGCTTTGTATGGAAGGAGATGTAGGACTCCTTTAAGTTGGTACAAATCTGATGAGAGTGTTGCCTCAGACCTGAGATTGTTTAACACACCATTGAGAATATCAAGATAATCCAGAGAATATAAGAGCTTCGTAGATCAAACATAAGAGTTACCATGATAAATGAAGGAAAACACTTGATTTCTAGGAGGAAGACCGTGTGTTTTTTAGAGTTACTCTCGTAACTGATATTGGTCGAGAATTGAAATCTTGAAAGCTCACACCCCATTTTATTGGTCCATATCAGATCCTCTATAGAGTAGGAGATATGGCGTACAAATTTACATTACAACCATTTATTTGAATCTTAATAATGTCTTTCATGTGTCTCAATTGCGGAAGTACATTTCTGATTCGTCTCACGTGATTGAAGTGGACGATGAGAAATTTGGATAGAACTTGACTGTTGAGGCATCTCCCTTGAGAGTAGAGGGCCGAGAAGTGAAACACTTCATAGGCGAGGATATTGCTTTGGGAAAGGTAGTGTGGGGGGACCTGCTAGTAAAAGTATAACGTGGGAGTTGGATAGTCAGATGAGGGAGTCGTACACGACTATATTCATTTAAGGTAATTTTCAAGGGTGGAAAATCTGTAAATGGGGGAGAGTTGTAACACCCTATTTTTTGTAATTCATTTTAATCGATTCAATATTTACTTTTATTTATTTATTTGGTGGTTTAATTAATTATTATGGTGATATTACGTGCTATATGGTTTTTTGAGGATTATTGGAGGTTAGTATAATTCTAGTTGATTTTTTACCAAATAATTCTAGTTGATTTAAAATAATGAAATAATATTAAAATAATTGGAAAATAGAGGTTTTGGGTGGAAAATAAAAATAATGGGGAAATAAGGGAAATGGTGAGAATTATAAAAGAAGTTGGGCCAATGTGTAATTAGTAAAAGGTCAAATTAGGTTTTTTAAAATAAAGGATTTAGTGAGAGCCAAACTTGTCAGTACGTAGAAAAGTGTGGAAGTGTTAGGTACCAAAATGTGTTAATATTCAGTATAGTTCTTGGTGCTTTTCGATTCTATTTATTGCTTATTCTTGTATTTTTCTTTTGTTTCTATGTAAATAATCGTATTTTGATTTAATCAAGTAAATAGTTCATAGTTAGTCATATTTTGTCAAAAATTTGTAGGATTATGCTTTTGATTGAAGCTTGGACAATGGAATAGCTTTGAGATATATTTCATGCAATTTTTGGAAAGCTAAGCATGGTACAAGTCGCGCTTAAAGCACAAGAATTTGAGAAACGGAAGTGAATTTGGTGTTTGTTGTACCTGAATTTTTGACCCTAAGATTCCTCTATCACATCATATCAACTTAATTACAACAAGGTCACACACTAGGGTTTGGTTCTTCTCCCTATCTTTAGATTTGCTCTATGGGGAATCACCAAGCACTTTGACTTGTACTTTATGATCATCTATGTTTTGATTATCCTTTAACTAATGAATACAATAAGTGTTTGCCCTAATTGATGATGATTGTAGGAGAAAGCACAACACATTCCATCAAGATTGGTCTATAGATTCATGAGTTCATTTCTATGCCTTCCTCAACAAAGCTTCATTGAGACTCAAGCCTCAACATTGAAGATACTTTGAAGAAATATCATGACAAAGTCTATTATGATTCATCATACTTCAAGTTGTCAAAGACGGTTCAAAGGTACAAGGATTGAGTGAAGAATTTGACTCAATTTGGCAAATCCTTGATTCATGGATCACAAATACACATCTCCTTCAATAGACAAGATTTGAAAGTGGTTTTGGTTGCTACGGTTTCTCCTTATCATCTTCAACAAACCATATTCACATGAAAAATTATTTGTCTAAGGAGGTAGATCAAAATTGCAAAGGTTTCCCAAGGCATTTTCTTGCTCTAAGAGCTAGGGTTTTGAACTTCAAAATGGCATATCTTACTCATCTTTTCGTATTTTTGTATGATTCCAAAGACATGTTTCTATTCAAAGGGTTATTAACAAATTAATCCAAAAGTTTCAAGGAAATTTTATGTGGAAGAAACTTAATGATGAAGAAAGATTACAAGTCCTCCAGATGAACCCTC